AATGAGGGGAGGAAAAAAAAAGACAAAGGAAGCAACCAGGGATTTAAGAATGGGGTGCTAGAGATAGAAGTTTGATGAGTTTTAATACAGGAAGATGGAAGGAATTTAGGAAGACATTATCAACATGAAGTAATGCCCTGGCACCATTTTGAATGGGGAACACATACCAAGATCCAGTTCCAGGCCATTTCAGAGACTCTGCCAGCCCTATTATGACTCCTGGAAGAAAGATGATGATAGCCAATCCTTCCCATTTTTAGAAGTAGACAACTCAGTGGTTCCCTGAACTCATCTGCATCTTTAGATAATCATAAATGATTCTCGGCTGGTGGAAAGCAGAAATAAAGGTATGTGAGAATGTTTTCAAAGGACAGTAAGTTTAACTGATTTGTTCCTGCAAGAATCTTTTGTCAGCAGTGCTACTACAAGCAACTCAGCTCAATTAAGTCTACTTGGGTTAATGAAAAGGAAAAATAGAAATTTTAAAAAAATGCTTGGTTCACTCTCACAATCATTCAGGCATTCAGCAAATCTGGAGGTGAGAGCATATCCTAAACTGAGAACAGAGGTGATACAAGGAGGCACTTTTGTCTTCATCTGAGAAAATTTTGAAATCAGCTAATAAATGTGCTAATAACATGAGCAGAGAAACACACCCAGCCTAGCAATTTCACAGCTAATACACACATGGCCAATACATCATAAAATAGCTACCTCCATGCCAGCAATGCAGTCTTTTGGAGCATTGTCAGCCCTACAAGGTAGACCAAATCAGGAAACTGATCCAAAGGAAAACTAGAACTATACTTTATTGACATAGATTATAGTAACAGAATCTTGCAAGTCTGTCTGTTTTCCTTTCTCTCCCTCTTATACCTTAGGGAATCAGTGGGGAGCCAATCTGAGTCTTTTTCTAATACTTTCCCACCTCCCTGGGCTTAACACATGCTTCTTATGGACCTCTTGTTGTCCTAATGGCTTCTGGATTCCTTCCCCAAGGTTGTCTCCCCAGCAACAAATGGGGCTCAAGACGCATCTCTCTGTTTGCGAAAGTAGGGTTGTGCTTGCATATTTACAAATTGTGGATAATACCTTCAATAGGCAAGCTTTCAAATTCCCCAGAACTCTTCACTGGGCAGGAATGTTCCAAAAAAGCAGGAGATGGGAATGAAGAAAAAAAAAATCCAACAGCTCGGTCAGATGTTTCAACCTTGAGGTCTGCAGATCAAAGTCAGTCTCAAAATGGAGATTGTGTGGCTAGAACATAGTGGTTACTAGAAAATGTTGGTATCAAATGCAGGTAGCATTCAGGGACAAAAAAATGTTTATCCCCTCTACCCTGCCTCTGCCTCCTTCCCCCAAGCTCTGAAAACAATAGATGTCATTTTTTTTAGGAATAAATCTGTGGTTTCAACAGGTCTCATGTCCATGTTATTGAGTAGCCTTCTCCAACAGATGGTGGTTTATGAGGTAAAGATGATGGGAGTTGTAATCTGACACATCTGGAAGGCCCCAGGTGGAGAAGGTTGCTGGTGAAGAGGTGCTATGACTCACAAGCAAAGCTAGTCTGCAGATGTGGCTTAGTTGCACGGTGGCAACCACCCAACAAGGCCTTGTAGCACACGCCAAGCCCATGTTGACTGGTTCGTCATTTGTGTCCCCAAACTGAGTTCACTAAGCATGATCTATGAGTCCTATTGAGCAGACTGGCTACGTTTTTGGATAAATCTTGAGTTGGTTTAATTCAGCCATATGAAGAGTCTGATGCTATTGTGGGAGTGAAGCTGAGAAGGCCTGGAGCAAAGCTGTGTCTCTTCACTCAGCCTTGCCAATTTTCAATTAGGGACATTAAAATAAAATTTTGGCAGGTCCAATGGCCTGGTTTCTCCCTGGAAAGATGGGCAAGGGAATTGTTTCCTCGGTGAGAAGATGAAGTGTCCTTGTACCCCTGACCGTTCCTGGCACGGAGAGAGAGAGCTGTGTCTGTCACCCACTGTGTCGTCCTGGGAGTCAGAGACAAAGGAGGCAGTTGTGATTTGGTATGAGTCAATTGACGACAACCGTGTGCAACGGGTGGGTGATTCAGTGATTCATTGTAAAGACAAAGGCTGCAGAGAAAGTTCACCCTGGCTGCTAAGGCCTTACACTTCAGAGAATGAGTTTATTGTCCCCATAGGAGTATAAATGTTTCTGTATATTGGGAGGGTGGCATTTAATATTTCATTGGGCCTTGGGCATTTTATTGTGAATTATCACATCCTCCAGCTGCCCAAACCTTTACTCCTAACCCTTATTTGTAAACATGGAGTAACCATAGGAACGGGGGTGCATTGCCCTAAGTCTAGGGTTCTTAACCATGATTAGCAGAATGAAATGCAATTGTCTGCATCTGTGCAATGCTTTATGTCATAAACCATGATTTGCAAACCATGCTGGTTGGATTCATACAGTACTCTAAATAAGACCAAGCAATTTGCATTACATTTTCATCCAATGTGTGAACTCATTGAAAGCCTAGGATGAAGACAGCCAGTATTTCATTGGATAAACATGGGTCTCATTGGGGGCATAAACTGGACTGAGCTGAAATGTTGGCTTATCTGGTGCCTTTGGATGGACAGCTAACACCTCTAGCAACTTCTCTGAATTATATCAAATGTAAGGATGCTATTGGAAAGGGGGCAATTGTAGGGAAAAAAAGCAGGAGCATATTATTTAAAATATTTGTATCCTGGTTTTTGACCTTAAAAGCACTCAAAGTAGCTGAATGAAACCCTAATGGGTTTACGCAGTACACTAAGCTAAACCAAGCAAACGATTTGCCAGCTTCGCCTGATTTACCTAGCCCATCGTCTTAACACACATAAAACCAGTGCAGATAACAGCATCTAAACAAAGCAAGATTGGATTATTTTTCCAAATAGGATAAACCAGTCAGAGTTGCTCAGGTGGAAGCAAGTTTTCAGGATCATCTGAAGATGTAACAGCCACCGGTAAGGAGACATCTGTATCTAGAGCAGTGTTTCTCAGCCTTGGGAACTTTAAGATGGGTGGACTTCAACTCCCAGAATTCCCTCAGCCAGCA